GCATGTGCGTGTGTGCCCAAGATCCCGAGAGGAGAATGGAGGAGAAGGGATTGCGGCATGGCCATCCCTCCTGGGGGGTGATTTTTCGCTTTCTGTCTGTCTCTCTCTGTTTGTCTGGTGAGTGCACGTGCCCTATAGCAAAAATAAAAACCTCACAAAAAAAAGGGGGGGAGGCATGGAAGGGGCCAGTAGGTAGCATAGTGGTTGAGGCATTGGACTCACACATAGCTGATGGCAGTCTGAGTGCCGGACCTGGCAACTTGAAACTCACGCCGGGTGTGTGTGCCTGAAATCCAAAGGGGAGATTGAAAGAGTGGATTGCAGTGTGGTCATCCCACCTGGGGAATGATTTCTTGCTTTTTGTCTCTTTGGCAAGCTCATCTGTCCAACAGCAAAAATCTCTTTAAAAAAAAACCAAAAAACAAAAAAAAACAACAACAAAAAAAAACAGGCAGCCATGAAACACAGACCCCTCTGCAAGATGCTAAGGAGTTTTGTAGTTGTTTTTGATTTTTGCTATAGGCACATGCACTCCCCAGAGAGACAGGGACAGAAAGCAAGAAATCACCCCTGAGGAATGATGGTCATGCTGTGGTCCCTTCTATCAGGATCTTGGACACACATGCACACGCACACATGCCAGTGTGACTTTCAAGCTGCTGGGTCCCATACTCAAACTGCAGTGGGCCACTTGTGAGTCCAGCACATTAACCACTATGCTATTTGCTGGCTCCAAGGAATTGTTTGTTAACAGTGATTGCTCAGAATCTCCTGGGTGGGGAGAGGAAGAGATTTTAATTTTTTTTTTTTGATCTGGTATGTTCCAGTTTGTTTTTAAAAGGCTGCACTGCATTCATAATTTAAGAAGTAAATGGAAAGATTTTGGAAAAAATACTGAGTATGCAGTGGAGAAAACACCCAATTCTGGGGGGAAATGACATTAACACCCCCATGTCACCTTCCTGCCTGGGATCCCTCAGCCTGCCTGATGCAGAAGGTGCATAACCGAAACCAGCTCTTGGTGACCTCACCTGCCTTTTCTGTGAGGAGAGGCTGGTGGGGGTAGGTAGGTACAGTCTGAGTGTGGAGGCTCAGCTGGGACCCATGTTCTCTGAGACTGAGGTTTGTCACCCATTGGCTATCTCTTCCCTGGCAAGGATGGTGTGATCTACCCTGGTCATTGGCACTTGGCTCACACACCTTTTAATGAACATTCCCAGCGGTGCCCATGGCTACAGCCCGAGGATGGAGGGCTCAGCAGAGACTCCTGCAGCCGAGTACCTTGAGGCTGTCGCCCACAGTAGGTGTACAGGCACCGTTCCAGCACCAGCATCTGAACAATGGTCCCACCAGGCTCGCCAGTTTCCTGGCTCGCTCAAGCCCCCACCAGTATGTTCGGTGGCATTGCGCCTGGGCAGGTGGGAGGCTGTGCGTGGATGCGGAGCCAGCGGCGGGGAGACTTTCCCAGGCGAGTCCCAGGGCGAGGAGGCTGAGGACGCCAGGGCAGGCGCAGGAGGAGGCCGCCCGCCCGCGCCGCTGGGGGCCGCCCGCG